ACATGACTGACCATCTAGTACACAGACATGCTACCACATGACTGACCATCTAGTATATAGACAATTATTGCCAATTAAAGAAACAGATCCAGGTTTGGTTTGAACAGGCTGTGTGCGTTTTACGTACTTTCGAACCACACCCCGGTCCCAGCTTTAGTGGCTAACAGAAGAATACACCAGGTGCAATCTCACACGTTCTTTTGTAACCAAAAACTGGAATACGAGAAAATCTGCTTAATTTATTAACCTAGTAACTGAAGGTGACATACTTACAACTACAAGGAGTTTTTTCTCGACAATATCGACTTTAAAAGCTCTAGAATCGAGGACAGCAACTTTTATGGGGACCAATCCRTACTTGATAGGTACGATGGCTATGGGCAATGACAACGAACCACCGGCCTTCACTTTGACTCCATCTTTATTAGTCAGTAGTACTCTTTCATCAGAAGGAGCAGCTGAACAGAACCCCTCGTTTCCGAAAAGGTAAAACTTTACCTATTGAAAATAAAGGGAATTTATTATCAATTCAAATTAAAATCTATCATAAAGTGTAAAAATGTAAACGCGTTGAGAAGGCTTGCTTCATTCTCTTCTCTGATTGGCTGAATATAAGAATTATGTTCTGTGATTGGTTCTTTCAAAAAGATGCGATTAAGAGCTCAAAAGGATGCGATTAAGATCTCCTAATGATGCGATTTGGGAATTAATCGCACTCCTTTGAACCAGTCAGATTGCAAGATTTGGTAGTGATTACAAAAAGAATATGATTTATTTGTTAATTGTGTGTTAACATCTGTGACATATTTCTCAATTCTTAAAGATCTTTTTGAAATCAGTAAGTAAAAGCCTGTATAAAATAACTGTTATAAATTGGAGGCGCGTGCTTTTTGAGAGCACACTGTACGCGCGAGCACTTTCTCTTCATTCATATCCAAAAAAAACAAACAACAACAACCAATTATTGTTATTTGTATTTTAAAAAATAAATAAAAATAAGCAAACTCTCTTTCTGTGCTGTACTGTGTGCAGGTATAAAGCACTTGGGGATAAGCACAACACTCGATAATTATTTAAGAGCACTCTACTAAGCTTCGTGCCTCTCCTAACACCACTCTTGTGTGCTACCAAGCAAAGCGTGCTTCATAACTGCACACAAAACACGCACGCGTTTTTCATTTCTTCCAGTAAAAGATCAAGAACTGACCGCTGTTTCTTCTTTGTTGTAATTATATACAGTGGCTAGGATTGATATCTGTTCGCCAAGTTGAGCAGAGTATGGCATCGTGAAACGCATGAAGAAAGGTTTAAAGGTTTTTATATGTAACGGCTTTGCAATTCCAAATCCTGAGGTGTTAGAAACAGCAACAGCCTGTACAACCCAACTTGTGATGGTATGTGGTAAGGTTGCTTCTAGCATTGCCCTGCCACATTGGTCCTTTTGCAAGTATTTCTGGCAATCAATGTGATTTTCTTCATCTCTGGAAAAATAGAAGCCCATGACATTTTTCTTGAGTAAAAAAATATAATATAAAACTGGTCCTATTGACAAATCTTGTCTTTTCTACGGTTCAAGGGGTTTTTAATTTCTCCGCTTTCTCTTAAGGTGGAACCAAACTAATTCAGAGCGAATTTTGGATAATTTTATTCTCGCTCGCTTCGCAAAACAAATGCGTCAATTTAACTGTATCTTTCATATAATGTGCTTGGATTATTCTAGATTCAAACAGTGTATTTCATTTTAAGATTTTTTAAATATTTAGCCTATTACGGCCGAAAATCAAACAGTGCTATTTTTAGTTTTTGGCTTTTTTCTCCTCATCCCCAGGTACGATTTTTCTAAAATTTTCAGAATCATATTATCTAGCACTATTGCAGCCTGTGTATAAATTTGGATGGAAAGTCTTGGGCAGAAAAAAAGTTATGACGCCGCTTGAAAATTCGATCCAAAATTTGAAGCATATAAGACACCGCGCTGTAGAAACACCACCATTAAATAGATTGCCTTGAAGTTTTCACATATCTATTTCCAAGTATTGCGGATGAGCCTTACGAAAAATCAGCATCAAATCTTAAAAACTCATTGAATAAATGTTTTTTTACTAATTGCCGTTGTAAACCTCAAATATTAGAGTTTTGCTAAAAATCACATTTTCGCCTTTTTCTTCAAAACGTCTCAAGTTTTTTCTTTAAACTTCCTACATCGATAGACCAGAGCTTTATCTAGATGGTAGTAAAATTTCTACAGCTCGTCCTATCCACATTTTGGAGAAAACATTTTTGAAAGGGAGGTGAATTAGCTTGGTTCCACCTTAACTGCAAAAGTCCTTAGCCGTGCGTTTCTCCGCGTCCTCTTATTAGAAATATTTTGAAGACTTATCTGCCTTACCCTATAACCTTTTCTTCGTAAATCCAAGTCTCTGGAAAATAGCTTCGTACTTGAGTCATCTCGATTAGTTCGTCGTCCGAGGGGCCGGCAAAGTCTCCAAAATCTCCAAAATCTCCACTTCTCGCTAAAGCCCCCATGTCTACATCCAACCAGATAAAAACACAACAATCATTATTTGAAATATGTTTAAAGAATTTTTGTTATTATTATTTGTGGCTTGATTAACTTAGTCAAATTCAATTAGCGATCTTTCCTCAATGCTGCGTTCTGATTGCAAAACATGCTCACTTTGGAGGACAAAACAAAAGAATTTCATCTCCTGAGAATCTTAAACTATCGTAATGTCCTCCAGCTTGAGCAGACAGGGTCTATTGACTAATGGTCTATTGACCATTCGGGCTAAAGGACTAAATGCTAAATAGCCGTTGTACCTTTGGCTCCAAATCTCCTTACGCAACACTTTAAAAAATGCCTTATGCATTCCCGCAGTTTCTGGCCCGTGTATTCAGGAACGTCTAAATCGTATACTCGTCTGATGCAGCTTCTTTGGTTTTCGTCAGTGGCATTGCCTAACTTGCAGCAAAACGTCTGGGGATCTAAATCTGAATCTGAAGATAGTAAAGATAATAATATTGGTAATGACGGTTGATGAAATTGTTAGTGATGGCCATGATGAGTAATGGTGAATAAAGATGAGGTTTAATTGAAATCAGTTTGGGGTAAATATTTCCTACATTGATAATAGTGTTTGTGGCTGTTAGATCACTATACAATATGACCCGCAAGGTCCTGATCGTACGCGCGCTGTATTTATCAATTTTAGCTGGATTTTTCAGTCTATTTTATAACAAAAATTGGCTCACATGATAAAATGCTTATTGACTAAGTTAGGTCGGGCCAGGTGCGAAAATATTTGGTTCTAGGTCATGCCATATGGACCTTGCTGCGCTTGGTCTGTATACGCCATGCTTAATGTCCAATATATTTCATTCAGTCAATAAGTACATATTACTTTCATAAATGTAACTATTAGTTTATTAGCAGTAAATGGCTTACTCTGGTTGACAGATCTTTTTTGTCTCGGTAGAGAGTCGTCACATTTAAAATCTATAACATCAAAATAAAAATAAAAAACGCTTTCACATTCCCCGTTTGATAGAATAGGAAACTGAAGATACTGAAGAAACTCAAGGAATGAATTATAACGGATCATGGAATGAATGACGAGCAAATGGATGAAGGGGGACTAGTACGATAGTCTTCCTAACGTAATTCTGCTTTATCTGTAATGAATTACATTAGGACTGAACTTTTAAAAGAGTCAGTGACATACTCAACACTTATCATTGCTCCATACATTTCTGTGTAAATAACGTCTTGATATATAGTTTACTTGTATTAATCTCAAAGGCCCGCGGAGGGACTCATAACGTACATTACATAACAATTGTTTCGTCTCTTTTCTATAATGCTGAGTATGAAACAAAGGGATATTTTGATCACAAAATACAAAGAAACGTATAGAGCAGGTACATGTTGCGTCATAGCCGCCATCTTAGTTGACGATAACAAAGCATTCATCATTAACTTCTCTTGTTAGATCAACCAACATGGCGGCTGTTTCATAGTTATTCATATCTCAAGGGATTTTGAGTCACATGGCTACACACATTCTATAGAGCGATCAGTTTAGTGTTGAGTAGATGACGTCACAGACTCCAATAAAATTTGCACTGAAAAAATATAACTCTTCCCATCGGGATATTAAGGAAATTTGTATAGCTGATTTGAAATTCAGACAATTTTCGTACTAAATGAATGATGAAAACCTCATAGACTAGCTGGTACTACCTTGTCGTCCAGGGATTGCGAGTGATGGAGCAATAACAGCAATGCCAGCATTCTAAAACCATATAACTGTATGTAAGTATTCTTAATATTATTTCGGGTTTAACTCTTAAATCAGAATATGAATCATTGCAGGTTATATACAGGCTTAAACTTAATTGTTGTTTGGTATTGAAGGATTACCTTAAAAACTCCTTGCGTATCTTTGCCACTTCCAACTCCGCATCCAAGATCGAGATTCTCTAGCTCGTCAAACACCTATATAAACAAGTGATTCTATCTTTAGAAAAGACTCGTAAACAAACTGTTAGCTTAGCACTGAATGCTCGAGATGTTCATAATATTGTTTTTTGTAAGGGGACAACAAGTCAGCGTCGATCAATTATCATTTATGCATAGCAACGGTTGTTTAAGAGCACATACGAAGACTAGAGGTACTTACACGCTTTGGAGTTAATCTATTATCATTGCGCAATAAGTAGACACTCTGGTCAACCCCGAGGATCCCTACACGAGTGCCTTTTTTCCCCAGTACGTTCACAGTATACTCCAGTGCTGGAAATCTGGTGATTTCGTGCTCGTTGTCTTTGATTTGAATCTGAAATGATGAAAATTAGTTTAACATCTTTCATAAGCAGATCCCCAACTTTTTACCATTATGCATAACCATAATTAATACGATCGGGGACACACACCCCTACTGACAAGAAACTAACCTGGTTTGGTAAAGAATCGTCGACTTCCAATAAGATGGAATCAGCAATCACTTCTCCGCCTGATGATATGTAATACGCAACCAAGCGAGCAGATGGTGACATCATACTTGTAACTTGAAAACTTATTGTTGCCGACACACCAAACTTCTTAACTACGACATTATGGACAACGATTTGCCCTCGAGATACGACCTTGAAAAAATTGTTGATCGATGGCATCTGGTTAGTTGAAAGCTTTAAAATGCAAAAAATAATTTTCAATTGTGTACAGAGTACGCACCATGTACGAAAGTTTATCAACTTTGCCGGAACTGAGAAATGCGTCACAAAAGACGGTCCTGCCAACCTATGTCAAGAAAAGAGGTATACATGAATGATGCAAGAGGAATCTTGAGTGTGGTCAGTCGACAACCATGACAGCTTTTCTGTGTCTTTACTGATATGGTTTGAATGTTAGAGGACACATAATAAGGCATATTTTAATGAAAATTTATCTCCTCAAAATTGAACGATTAGCAAGTAAAAACAAGAGTGTGAGAAGAAGCTGTTAGCCAAGAGACCATCGGTTACCTTAAAATTCACAGTAAAACAAAACAAACAAAAAACAAAAAAAACAAACAAACAACCAAACACATGTACTGCACAAGTGTGGAAATACCCGGCAAAACAATCTAAAAAATTGGAAACCGCACTATAGAATCAAGCAATTCAATAACTCTTTAAAGTATCCGTTTGCCTGTACTAACATATTCAAAGAGCGAAGTCTCCAAACAAGAAAAACTTTAGTAGAGAGGAAGAGATATTAAGCTCGTGAGATAACAACAAATATTGAAGTCCTTTAAAAAGTAAGGATGATAAATAAACAGCATGAGCTACTCCAAGAACATCATTATAGAGAGAAGAGTCGAGTGGTGAAAGTAATGTTAAAAGAACGTGCCTATAGATAATAGATGAGAGAAGAATATAGACCTGATAGCTAGCCACCAAAGAGACGGAGATGAACAAACTACTTATGTATGTACTTATGGATCGAAACCTTTATAAACAGTTTTAAATCATTAAATCCAGAGACAACAGTAGAAGTGTACTTACTCTAACAGGCTTCGTCTGTCTCAACATCAAATATTCATTACTTTTGGACGTGTAAACACGCGTTATTAGTTCCTTGACAGCATTCTGGTTCAGCGGTAAACCTTTTTCAGCTGTTTCTACCTGTAACAAGGGTTCAAAATTGATCACTACATGAATAATACATGTAATATATTTAATACCCAAATCAACAGTATTTCCGAAGTTAGTTTACCTTGACTTTAAGTGTCTTAACATCTCGTGGAATATCAATAACGAACTCTGCCTGACCGTTTGCTCCTGTTACATCTCTGTTCGCCTCATCTTTAATGTCATCCGCATGTCGACCAACGTCAGTCTCTGAACCGTCGCTTTTTATTGCCTTAGCGGAAATCCTGACATCGATGTTTGGCGCAGGCTTATCATCAGGATAAGACGCTATTACCTATGAACACAGAATGTACGGCAGAACTGTTAGTATCTACACAACATTTTTTTAATAATTAACAATTAGTAGCGCCGAATCGACTATTTACTCATAGAAAACGAGAACGAGTAGACTAATTGTTTTAGCATAAACCTACTAGCTAATATTATGGCATTGAAACAAAGAATGACGATGAAAACTTCGTTGAACAAAAAGACGGTCAACGGTCAACGGTCAACCGGCGGCACTGTTTTCATTCATATTTGCGAACAGTCGTCTCGAAGTCTTGATATATAAGCTTTTGGTCTATTTTTACTTTCAAAACCCTCTCTCCAATTTTTTTTTTTTTTTTTTTTGACCTTTTTATCTGTTCTTGGGAACTTTTCTAATTGAATGAGTGATAAACTGAACTGATTTATTCACAAATACTTCGTTGTCAGATTCAAAAATTGCATTTTTAGCAAAAATAGCAGAAAATTTGAAATATCTTATCTTGTGACTACATATGAAGTTGTTGATTATTTCTTCGGTTTTGAAGATATCTGAATGCGTTTTTTTTCAAATGCCCTTATCAAAAATTTCCTTATCCATCATTTTCAATATATTTTTACACTAAATTTGTAATGTCATTTTCAAATCGTAATCTTGGTAATACTGAAAAAAAGAACATTAATCTTTTGACAAGTACTCAAGAACATGTGAAATTTGAAGTTGAACGTACAAGCCAGTGTGATATGTAATATGTGTGTAAATTAGAAGTTCCACTACTTCAGTTCTCGTAGCATCGCCTGATTAAACATATGAATAGTTTCTTTTCCTTACCTTGACAGAAAACGGTAAGCCTGGTTTGAAGTATTTGGCTGTTTTRTAGAACTTGATGCGGTATTTAGAAGAGGAGAAAAAGATGGAGTTTTCTATTGCATGTTCAGTGATACCAGTCGATGATTCTGTTACATCAGCCTCGACTTCGAGACGCCTTCCTTCGGGAAACCAAATGTTGCCCGGTAAATCCATTATATGACGTCGTTTGATCGTTAATGTTGCAAAACCATCCAGAATCTAAGTTTGAAAACATTAGTAGGTAAACAAACAAACGAACGAACAAACGGACGGACGGACGGACGGACGGACGGACGAACGAAAAAAACAAACAAGCGAACGAACGATCAAAACAATCAACAATAGTCCCCTTCACAGTTCCCTGCACCATCTTGAAAGGTAGCCGTGCCTTTGCATCGACGCGAGACGAACGGTGAGCTTGCAATAGAGTCGTGTGAATAATTGTTCAAGGTGTTAAAAAAGGTATCTATTATTGCAAGCTCACCGTTCGTCTGGCTTCGATGCTTCATTTCAAGATGGCGCAGGGAACTGTGAAGGGGTCTATTAAAATCAAAACATACTCGCATTCTGAAGGAGCTTATAAGAATGGGTTCTTGCTTCATGCCAACAATTTTGATGCGAACTGCTAAAGTTCCTTCCACGGACTTTCCATGGGTATAACTTAAAGTAAAGCATCAAGACAGTATTAATTTAGGGAAAACGTTTTTCTTTTTCGATATCGTTATTCTTCGAATAAGAGGTTGAAAGAGGTAGAAAATACCTGCTTGCTATGCCCACAGTAATTGATATATCAGTAGGAAGTATCACTGAAGGACCGGTGATCTTGACGGAGAATGTTGGTAATACTATAAAGGTAATAGAAAAACTCTGATATCAATTCAATACTTGCATGCAACCAATGATAAAAATGATTCCAAAAAAGTTCTGCATTGAACTGAATTATCTTTAACACTGAAAAACGAATACGAAGCTGAGAGCTAATCTGCCGTTGAAGAATGGGCAATACATTTGCGTAGACAGGAACCGCGGCTCTCTTCCCAGTCCCCAGTTCATACGACGCATCAGCTACGACAGGTCTATAGCTTAAAGGCGTAGTTTTTAAAAAAAAATTAGAATTAATTTTGAAAAAATATTGAATTTCTATCGGTGGACGCGACATATCCAGACAAGATTTTCTATTCTTTTATATCATTTCTATTCGTCTTCATAATCTGATTGGATTCAGACCTTAAATATTGGTGATCGTTACATTCAGCATTTACATTTAATCAATTCTCGATTCCTGGAAACAGTTTAYTGACAAGAGCTTTCACTACACTTGTGCTTCAGTATATTCAATCGATGTTGCTATGCTTTTCGTTTGTATGGTACTGTGACTTTTCTGTATCCAAAGGGGGGTCTCCCGGTTATTGGAGAAGCGCCCAGTCCCCACTCGTTTCTGACAACTCTTGCCTGGCCATTTTTGTAATGACATTTAGACAAAACTAAAGGTACATTACGGGACCCTCAAGTGGTTAGACTTTACATTACAACGTACCATATCCTCTGACTTCAAACTTGATCGATGTGTTGTGGATGAACTACAAATACAAGAAAAAGGTTCAAAGACTGACCAGGTACTTAGTCTCCAATGAAGAGACTTTTTAAAAATTGTAAGGAATGAGATCTCAATCAGTATGCAGTATATTTACCTGGTGCCCATAAAATGCTTGTACTGTCCAGTTACCATTAAGAACAAAATCCCCGAGGTCAAGTACTTTAGAAATAAAGCCTACAAGACATGAAAATATCCAAAACATATCCATTGACCTGTCTGTGAGACTTTCACTGGGGACTGTGAGTGATTAGATCATACGTACCTGTCTTCGTATCTAGATTCTTCCACTGCTGAACTCTTATGCCTTGTGGATTCTAAACCAAATAATGAGATACAAACTGTTGCTACTCATCACATGATATGGCTGGGTAATAAATATTCTGGTATCATGCATCAAATAGTTACACAATCCTGGTTTGAATTGTGTGTAATGCTAACAGACAGACAAGTATTATCAAACTACAGTGCACTACATACCTTAACAACCACCGTAATCTAGAAGAAGAAAAAACAAATCTCGTTAATGCATTATATATACCTATACTACTTAAAAGACATTGTCGTATAGAAATAAAATAATAATAAATAACAATAAGGAATTAATTAGATATTCATATTTTGTTGGTTCTAAAGCCCCATATATTGACGATAATAACTGGTTTAGTATATACTAACAAAATAATATCAAAGATGTCTGTCTATAGAAGCTGCTAATGCGTCGCCTCTTGCCAATGGTGTCGTATGTGAGTAGAGCTGTTTGTTGATTCTCTCCTGTGCATCGAGAGTTTTTCTCCGGGTTCTCCGGTTTTCTCCCTCTGCAGCAATCAACTTCTAAATTCTATGTTAGGATGTATTCTTGATAGGGTTACCTCACTCTCCTTTCGTACCATGAAGCAAATAAATTGGCAAATAAATATTTTTTCTAACAGTGGAATAATTACACTTGTTTTTCTTAAAACAATATATTCCTATTTGGCATTTTTGATATTAGTTTTTATTTTTATGAAACAAACAAGCAAACGGAAAGGTTTTCAGTTCAAAAATATAAATATTCAATCACTTCTAACATAATAGTTTGAAGGAATTAAGATGATAACCGACCTTTTTTGTGGTGGGCATAAGGTCAAAACCAAGCGGTATAACACGGATTTTGACTGAAAAAAATGACAATTCATATTAATTCAAACTATTAACTAATGCATACAAAAAAATATTGCTGTTATATACTGTTGTTGAGTGTCAAAATCCATTTTTTACGCTTTTCTCGATGGCTAAGAGGGTGCCACGTAAACATCACGTGAACATCACGTGAACATCAAGTGAACATCACGGCAGTCGTTCTGAGCGGGCAATGGTCCCTCGAAGACAATGTTCCCCTCGGCTTCGCCTCGGGACTTCGTCTCGGGACTTCGCCTCGGGAAACATGACCGTCTCGGGACCACAAATACACTGTTTCCCTCGGTCCCTGTCACTGTTATAATTGATAATGACATGACCAAGATTAATAATAATGTTATTAGCTCGGTTGTCAGTTGTGTCCATGATACTGACCACTTTGTTTCGGTGTGTAGATGGGTTTATCGGTTTGAATAAGGATAACGCCATCCTTGAAACTAAGCAGTATTTTGGTTTCCTCGTGGAATCGTAATGTTTGATCGTCAGATTTGGCAACGAGATAAACGTATTGTTTATCTAACGCTCCTTGGTCAGGAATGTCCTTAGGATCAACCTGTATGTCGAAGCAAAAGAACACTTCAATAAGGACCCTGGAACGAGGAAACTGAATTTAACGGTTGTGATATAACTGTACTGATCCGACGTATCGGACTTCGGTCTTTCGCTGGAGTAAGAGAGAAAATTAGGGTGACTAAAAGGAAACAGGATGATAAAATGTCACAAGAAAGAAAACATAAGGTATCAAACAAATGCCAAACCGCCGTTTATTCAGTGGAATAAATATGCACCATCACGTGACGGCAGCCATGTTAGATGGCAGAAACAATACAATCGTTTTACAGGAGACAAATTTAATTCCCGAGAGCATCTAACCACAGACTTTCAAAGCTGTATTATGGGCTCCGGCACGTGATGCAGGGTGCAAAGTCTCTAAACATAATACTTTCTATCTTTGATGGCAAACGTACCCTGACTGTGAGGAACTGTGGAACATCTGATGAAAAAAGAAAATACAACCTGTCATTAAAGTCCGAAGACGATCATTAGGTCCGTTTTGTAAGATTAATATAAATCTCGAATTCTGATTGGTTGGGGGCAATTGCTTTACTGATTAAAGCACACACCACACGCGCACTTTTTAATGCGTCATTCATATCCAAGATAACGGCTACTCATGCTTGTTAAAATAAACAAAAACCATGCTGTGCTGTGTGCAGTTATAAATGGTGCCGACTTGGGGATTAGCAGAACACGAGAGGAGTCTCAAAAAGCCAATCGTACAAGGAACTGAAACGCCGATTCATAGCTGGTCTACTAATGTGTATTAGTCTAATATCGATCTCACGGGTTTAGTGATTTCACTCATTATTGCACGCTTTTAATAGCGTTGTACCAAAGGTACTAAAGGTAGCAAAAGTATCAAGTGTATTCCTACAGATGTACGATTCTAACCTGTTTGAAATACTGCTTGAACGGGAGAGAAAGTTTTTCTCCTATGTGGAAAGTCTTGAAGAAAAAGTCGTACTGTTATCGGGGAATTGATTCCAAAGACGGTAACAGAGACATTTTCTGGAGTACCCACGTGAAAGACGTTTGGAGCTGAAATAAAATAACTGGTAGAAAAAAATATAATGTAAAGTTAACACATCTACGAGTAAACTCTAAAATATTCCATTCTTGTACAGCACGCGGGACGTGAAAAACTAGCCGTGGTGGAGTAGCCGCGCCTCTTGAAAGTTTTCGGCTCTTCTTGTTTGCTGTTACTCAACGTAGCCGGTTCAGAAAGCTGTTGTTTTTATTTCTTTCATTATTCAAAAAAATAAATAAAAAAAACCACAAATGACATTTATTATTACACTTTTTTTATAAAGCCAGCATTCCCCCGTGCAAAAAATGTAATAAGCACTGCTATCCGTTCTCTGAGAGAACTGAGCACACGTATAAACCGTTCAGAACGCAACCTCATCACCAGGGTCCTCTCAGTCGACTCCATTTCAATATGGTTGCCCTAGTGTTGGCTGAATCAAATGATCAAAATCTCTAACTAAGATTTCGGGAGATTTTTATCACGTGATCCTCGAAACAAAATGGCTGCTTTTCACGTGAACGTCAAAACAAAATGGCTGCCTGGCGATTAGAGACTGCTGATTTTAACTGAGATTTGGAACAAAAGCAAGATCGAAACTAGAGTTATGCATGCATTTAACCTAATGAGAGTTTTGAGGACAAAATATTTATTACTTGAGTCCACGAATTACTTTTTCCATGTTGTGTGAAAGTTATATCGACGTGAAAAGGTTTACGGTTTGTCATCAGAACTGAGAAAGGCCTTTGATTATAAACACTTCAGGGCTACACTACAGAATACTGGGCCCAATCAGAAGGTATATTGTGAGCCATTGGCTCTTCGGCTCCGTATTCAAATGAAAGTCGAGTTTCTTTTCAAGTCGCTGCGATAAAACAAGCCAAAAGTAAATACTTGGATATATATTATTCTTCGTCTTATTAATTGACCCTTTTCGAGTTCCAAATTACTGCTGTCTTTCTTGATTACAGACTCATTGGCTTAGCCTCGGTTTTGTGAAGAATACTCACGTGTTCCAGTCAAGGTCCGTCAACTTTCAAAGTGTTGTATTGTTGAAGTTGTGCATTCTTTACTTTTCTGTTGGTATTTGCGAGTAATTAGACACTGATTCGAGGCTAAGCCTGAGTAAATGAGTCGGTAATCAAGAAACACAGCGGTAGTCTGGAACTCGAAAAGGGACTATTCTCGCCGAGCAACGAGTCACTGAAAATAAATTTTCAAAGCCACTTATAAACGCTATTTATCCTTGTACAAATAACAAGATTCCGTTTTGCTAGTATTCTATAATGGACGAAAGAAATAAAAACAAATATCACTGCGGAAAATGTCCTATGTTTTTAATATATAAATCAAACGCGGTCTCAAACAAACGAACGCCGTCTCAAATGCCTCACGAAGTGATAGACCAATAGAAAAGCTCGTAAGTATGATTATGACTATATCTTAACAAACCAATTACCATTTGCGATACTTCAGCAACAGCAAGGTCTTCTCCCCAACGACCGCCATGATTTGGAGTCGGCCGAGGAGACCCTGGGGACAAGATTGTTCAGAACGTGCCTACTGAGTTATACTGCGCGTTCTCAACGAAATGCCAGAGACTCAATCTCGTACCCAGAGTCTGCGTTTCCCGCAGCGAAGAACGAGAGTTCTGGTATAATCCATTTTCGGTGCATGCGCAATTTTCAGGAAGGTAAATATAATCAATGAAAATCATGCTTTCAAACAGAGTTCTATGTTTACTTCCGAACAAAATAAAAATCAGAAATCGGAAACTTTTTTTTTGGTAAGCCTTTGAACGCATGCGCTCTTATACTGGAAGTCCAAGAAATCCTGGTCTCAATAAATGAATCAAGCCAGGCCAGGCCAGAAGAATTCGAAACGCAGGCTCTGTGTACAAGATTGCCAGAGACGCACACTTTGTCGAGCATGCGCAGTAAGAATGACCGGACTCAATAAGAACTATTGATTAGAAAGCTCAAAAATCTGGAAAATCTCCAGTTGACTGTGCCTTAGCCTGCATGGGAAAGTACGAGGAGTTATCAGTACAGCAGATGCAGCAGCTTTTATCTGAAGGCTAAATAAACATGAGAAAAAATAGCGCAACTCCGACAAGATTTAATGAGTTCAAATCGATCGTATTTCATCGTATTATTGGGCGACCCATTCTGGAACTGTACCAAGAGTCATGGAGACAAGTATGTGCATGTTTATTCACACAAACCAAAAAACTTCTCGATATAAAGCACAGGCTGCGTTCGTGGATTTCAGTTTCCTTGCCGAGTTTAACCGCAATCGAAACTGAGGTTTTATGTTCGTTATGTATATTCAAAAAGATTGGGTTCAAAGTGTGAGAAACATTCTATTTATCCACACACACAAACCCTTCGGAAATTGGTCATATGTACTAATCTAAGGAATCTTTGATCATCTGTCTAATATTATTATAATTATTTTCAGGTGCTGTTTTGTAAATCACGCAGTTGTCCTGAAAACATATGGAAAGCTCTGGAGTGAATCAAGGGGACTTGACATGCTGTGTATTGTATGGGATGACATACACGGGTATCTTGCTTTCATGTCGTGCTTCGTCTCATGGTGGGATGGAAAATAATATATTATTGACCCACTGACCTCTGAAAACAGATATTCAATTCCTACTTCTAATGAAAATTATAATGTTTGCTTAAAACACGGCTAATCTACAATGTTATTTAAACTACAATGTTAATGTTTAACGGATATACTCGCCACAGTAGTACTGTAGTTCTCGGCACGCCTGGTGATAAACCTGTCAATAATTAAATGCTATAGGTACAAGCCATTCGCAAACTATACACAAATACCCTATGACACACATAATGGTGATTGGTTGTCAAAGAATAACCAAAGAAGGCTAAAGTCAGTTCTGGAGTAAACAGGAAAATACCTTCAACCACTGCCAGGCAAACTTAGAGTTTGTGAAATACATTATGTACCTAACACTGAGTTGACGAGAATCTAACTGCAATAGTTTCTATATTACCTTTGAGCTGATGCACAGCTAGCTGCAGTAAATAGAATGATGTACAAGAGCATCTTCATGTTGCAACCTCTTTTGCCTCGCGATGAACTAGTTTTCTCAATAGCGTGTAGGGGTTTATATGAATACGTCATCCAGAGGAAGAGAAACTTAACATTTGATTGGCCAAATACACAAGGTATCGGAAATGACGTTTTAAAGGATCATCTAATTTGATGATAGAAAATCGTGGCTTCCTCTTCTTCCTTCTTTGCTTCAACTAAATGGCTGAGCAAACAATTTTTGTTACTGAAAATATTTACATGCGACATGAGGAACGATATTTGATCTTATCACACGGCAACACGCGGAACTGACTGACAATCGAAGTAGTCAAGGATGAACTCTCTTGAAATAAGTAACAGAAAAAAGTCTACGCTAGACAGGAACTACATATTTGATTTGTAAAGCTATTTATTATAAAACAAATAACAATATGATATGAGCACATATATCCACTTGTGAAAACAAACATTTCACTTCTACCAATAAAAGTTTTGCGTGTTTATCAAATCATTTTGCTTTTCTAGCGACTGAAAAATGACATTTGCGTTCTGTTAGGAACATGCAGTTTCCTGGAAAGGTTTAGGGCATTCCAATAGCTCCACTTACTGCAGGATTAAACAAGAAGTTAGCAAGAGGCCGTACATACCCTTAACTGCCGCCGGAAGGCTAGGAATGACGTCATGGCCCGAACAATCCCGAGTTGGGTCAGCAGATAAAACACGATACGTTCAGTCAGTATATTCACATCAGATCAAGTACTACAGTTATCACGTCCTTACATCTAACGTGTGAAATCATCTTTTACTTTTATCGAGCAAGAGCAGCACTAAAAGGTACAGTCTTATGTCTCTAGCTTATGCCGTGTCAACTCTCGTATAGTCCCCAGTTGTAGTGTTTATCGTGAGCATGAATGATTCACCGTCACAGTCCTTTCTGTCGATGCGTTTTTGTCTGGCTCATCTCTCCACACCTATCTATGTTTTCTGCCAATTGAAACTCAAAACATTGGTAGAATTATTCGTTGCGTTATTCGCAAGGTGTTTGTGAAAATAACAATGAGTAGTCAAGAATCTTTTGACAGTTTATTAGTAACATCATCAGCAGCAATCTCAATATAGAGCATATCATGCCAGGCCCTAATACAGACTATAAACATCAATTTCGAGCATAATATGCATATCAGCAACAACAACCCATCTCAGCAAAATTTAGCAAACAAACAAATGATAAAAACCGCCAAAAACTATTAATAACTACATCTAATCAAGATGAGGTATTGTGTAATACTTGTGCTGCAGTCCGAGGGAATGTCACGTTATTTTGCTCTAATAATAAGGTACTCGGTTCTAATACCTAAAGCTCTTGCATTTGCTTAGTCAGTCTCTGCACAGACACGTTCCACCACGCTTCATAACCTGTTATGGTTTCCACATTTGATGTGATTACTATTTTACCAGTTAAAAGGCCTTTTATTTTAATAGGTTAATTAATGCTGATGGATGTTCAAATAGTCACGGATGACGTCTGAGATATTTCCATTCAACTTAATAAGATAACTTCAACAGGCCTGGATTCGATGAAATGCGCCCAGCAGTAGCATGCAATTTGGATGTCCTATTCACTGCTACTGCATTACATTTGCCTCGTTAACTCATGTAATTGTGGGTGGAGCACATTTTCCTGAAGCATTTCAAGATTTTACTTCCCTTCTTCCTTTGTTTAACGTACTGGATAAGATACGTGAATATGACCATAGAAACCTTTTGATCGAGCCCAAAAATAACACGTTTTCAGTGAATGAATATCGAAGCAATCAAACAAACAACATATTTTTTCAACTTCCATGAACAATAAATCTGGGGTTGCTAATTCTTGCTTAATTACACGTACCGTTGTATTTAATGGATGAGTGCCAACAGTCCAACAGGAAGTTGTAATCAAATACATCACCTCATAATATCAAGGTATTTCAAGGCCAGGGTTTGTGTCAAATTAATGTTTTTCATCTTGGATGAATGCCATTTCATTTTTTTTTCTTTCTAGAAATATATTCACCTTTCAACTTGAAAAATTCTCTTTACTGATGTCCTGCGGTTTCTTAACGAATACGGAGTGAAGAAAAGGGCCCGCAGCGAGGCAGAGAAGTCTTTTGCACGTTCATTTTCGTTATCAATGATCGGAAACGTTTCAGAGGCGAAAAAAAAACCCCTGTAAATGTAAGCACGGCCTGGTGTCGATTTTTACGCCATTTTTTAGCCATCTAAAATACGGCCACAGGCGTTGGTAAAGATAGAGTTATAGTGAAATTCTACTTTCAGTAGGAACGGTTAACCGGAGGTATCTATATATAAGCATGATTGGTGCATTGACCCGCTCATGGGTCCTTTTTGCAGATTAGTAATGATTCGTTATAACTGATAACTGTCTTTCTTATGTCTAGCTTATCCGGCCACTCTCTTGGCCATCCTAAGGAAAAATGCCTATGCTTTATTGTACGTCGTGTAAGCAAATGGGTCCAAAACGAGTACCAAGACTCTTGAAGCTTCTGCTTCCATGCAAGAAATAAGAACCATAATGGCTGTGGTGTGCCTATAATTATGTTCCTGGATAGAAATTGACACACCCTTTTTTCCATTTTTAGTAAACACTGTAAAAATATGAAGACGGCCGTACTAATCGCCATTATTACGCTGACAGTAACGACTGCCTTTCTCCAAGTGACAGGTAAACATCGAGATGATTATAATTGCTGACCAAGGAAAGTTGTGTGATAAACTGCTGAGGTTACAAGCCAATTTCCACCCAATTCTTTAAAAGGCGTTAATAGATTCTTTACAATGATGARCGTCTTGCTGACAATTTGTTCACAAAAGTATTTTTTACTTCCTTTATAATTTATTGCTTTCGTTGTTTAGTAATCGGAAATAACATCATTAGGCTACTTCCGAACTGCCGAGTACTGGAGTTTATTGTGAATCAAAGGGAAGTTAAGAGTTGGATGGTCAACTATCAATGACATGTTCTGATCTCTATTTACAGCCAGAAGAAAAGGTGTATGTTATACAAAATATACAAAAGAAGCTGGCTGTCGGAAAAGGGGCGAATTTGCAAGAAAAAAAGTCAATTTTGATGATTGCTGCAAAAATAAAGGAAAAGGTTGGAGTGCAAATAGAAGAGGAAGAAAAACCTGTAGACCATGTGTAGAAGTTAAAATCGGTAAGAAACGATTTATCGATAATGAGTATTATTTTTGGCCACATATCTTCTGGTCGTATATGTTTCCATATATATCTTGTTAGAAAAATAAATAAAATCACGGCTTATAAGTACTGGGTAAAAACGCTCCTATGCTGTCTTAACATGATTGACCTTTTAACAGTCATGGTAATGGATATGTGAATGGAAGCTACAACCCAGTATCAGTTAACTACTGCAAATCGTGTTTGGTTATCATCGCATGTCTTCATCCTTCTAAATATTAGCAATGCTTTCTTGGATAGGGTAAACACACATTAATAAAGTATAATCAAATAATCATTATTGGGTAAACTAATAAAGCAGTAAGCTTATTTCCAATTAGGCCCATAAGTGTGCGGAAACAATAGCTGTCTATTTACAGACAGCTGCAGAGTACAATTAGATTTCATGCTTGATTTATCTGGATCGATTAACCAAAGAAGAAATTCTGTAATGAAAATTCTTTTACTCTAAGCAGCTAGTTAGTGCCCCATCTCAGCATGCAGGTCCAGCCAATCGCCAACCTTTAACCCACTAAGTTACTGGCATATGCCGGATACAGATTCTCAAGATGAGTTTTATCGGGCCGTTTTCTGATATTTATTAGCCAGAACAATAAACAATAATTATTTTTACTATGTCATGGTCTTTCATAGAAACCGGTTATTGGTCAAGCTGGGGAAAGTGGACAGGATGCAGTAAGACATGCGGCACAGGACAAAGACAAAGAAAACGTCAATGTATTTCAAAACAGAATACGACCTGTTCAGGCAGAGAAATGCAAGCCAGAAAGTGTCAAAGGACTCCGTGTCCAGGTATGTTAACTTTACAACAACTTATAGCTTATAATACTTAAGTAAAATGACGACGACGACGACGACGACGACGACGACGACGACGACGACGATGACGATGACGATGACGATGACGATGACGATGACGATGACGATGACGATGACGATGACGATGACGATGACGATGACGATGACGATGACG